CCAGAACGAACACGCTGGCGGTCAGGGCTCTGTCCGTCTAGCCTGGCGCCCTCGCCCGCAACAGCCGCCGTGTGGGAAGCGCCCTGGTTCTGCCGGGCTGAGCCCGCGCTCGGTCTGACGGGGACGGGCTGCGATCGAGTCTGACCAGAAGCCTGGCTTTCACCCTTTCTAAGTACGCACAAGCTTCTCCTTTTATGATAGATGCTGTTTTAATATACTGAAACGACTATATCGTTCACTTATCAGCAAACCCTCAAGTTGTATTTCTGTTGCTATTTCTTTTTTGGTAAGTGCCTCCAGCTGCTTAACACCTGCTTTCCTATGACTCTATGCAGACACAACTTTTCCAGGCTTATTCTCACGTGTTTCTCTATAACATATGCTAGCCATTTTTCCTCTGAAAAACACTACAGAAGAACCACTTTGTAAGTCGAGATTAAGCAGTCCATATTCCTCAGCTCCAATATTTTGTAAGCCATTCTTCCTGAGTTGATAGGGCTGCTGCTGTCAGCTCCCCACCGAGCTAGCGGCTTTATAAAATAAAATGAATTACATTTCATACATTCCAGCTACCTGTTTTATGAAAAGGGAAGGCTGTGATACAGCTTTCTAGCTTTTTGGAATTCCTTTATTTAATAATAAGCCCGCTTGCAATGAGGGCCTTCGGGATAATGCGTTTTGGGGAAGAGGTGTAACAGATTATCGTAACAGACCTCCAAGTCACATATGGCAGAGGTCAGCAGCAAGTGAAAATTAGCATCATGTGATGGTTGTTTTGTGGCCTGCGGCGAGTGAGTTGCCTGTTTTGTGATAGGTTTTTATCAACAAAAACAAATTGAGGACTTGTTGGCAGCTTCACTAGAAAAGGTTCTGCCTGCCCATCTTAATGGAGGAAGGAAGGAAGAAGGCAGAACACTAAGATTTTCAATTAATACTGAAACACACGGTAAAATATAGGTCGCCTTTGATAACCATGCTAGAGTAAGAGCTGCACGTTTCATTTTTGTGGGACAGACTGTCAGTCAAGGGGTCCTACCCGATACAGTCTGGCGTACTGAGAAACACCGAGTTACAAGGAAACGCAAGAACTGAGACGCCATCAATGACTGCAACTAATCACCAAGCAAAGGAGCTTGGAAACGCCTCAGGTGCCAACAGGGAGCTGAGGAAAGTGCCGTATTTTAATACTAGCACATAAATATTACGAATGGGCTAGAGCCCATAGGGAGAAATGTATGTGGAGTGGGTATTTACAATGCCAGCTCAAAAGGGCTGACTGAAAAATACACCATCTCAAATAATAACCATCGGACTTTTTGTGCTGCCGTCCATCTAACAGCAATCCAGCACTGCCGTTTGCCAGTACTCCATATTCCTTAAAGGAGGTTAGCTCTCCAGAGGAAGATGAGGCTCAGACCGTAAGATCAGAGAGCCCAGGGAGAGGCGTTCGGGCAGCCCCCCGCCGCGGCCAGCGCTTAGACGCCAGGCCAGCCACGGGGGCTGCATCCCAGGGGAGAGAGCAGCAGCGCTGCTCTGCCAGGCAGGTTGCAGCATATACTGAGAATTTATTTGGCCCCATAGCTATCATGTTACAGGCCAGAGACTATTTTTCTGCCTATCATATCAAATCAAAAGACACTCATTATTCCATGTGTAGCTGGCACCAGGCCTGTGGATGGATTTTATATTGAATAAGCCCAGCGCAGCCTCAGACAAACCGAATTTCTGAGGGCAGGTATGACAGAGTTCTGCATAAAGCAGAATCGCTGTCTTGGGCAAAGGAACCGATGTAGGGATTTTTCCAGGAAAACACTGTGGCAGCTTCTTCTGTCTTTCCAGACACAGGTTTTTTTTCTGTGAAAATATTCTCTCCTCAAACTAGATGTGAGAACGTGTAATACTCTGCCCTTGGATTAAGGTTAATTGATTGCTTTTTTTCACTCCTACTTGTACAAAATGAAAACACCGTTCTACCAATAGGAAAAACTATGTGAGCAATGTCACTGGCTAAGACTCATTCTGATAGGACTACTTACATTTCTTAATATGTATTCCATAAAAATGAAATCTTTACAGGATTTATTCCAATAGAAAGTGAGCAATAAATGTTTTTATGAGGGTTAGCTCATGTTACAGTCTGAACATACTAGTCACAGATATTCTTTCTGCAGAACTATTCCCACCTGACACTCTTGGGAACTGCAAAGGATATGTGCAGGGTTAGAGTGATTTAAGAGCTTTATCTATGGTCAAAGACCAAAATAAGTACTGCCCAAAATGCAAGAAGTCTGACGCATCTGAATTGCTAAACCGTGTGCTAAGAGCTTTATTTGGCGATCTATGAAGCTATGAGGTTGATTACCTCCAGATTAAGAAAGTCTCCCAAAATGTTGCGTGTCTCTTGACTAGCAACCTCACCATCTCAATTTAAAGGCTTTCCAAGTCTTCCTTCACTTTCTGCTCTCCTAAGGAGCTCTTCTAATCTGCTTTTACTGCAAGTTACAGAGGTTAGGTTTGTGGGCTGCAGCAACCAAAAAAGAGACAGCTCTTGATATTGGATGCTATTGTGGCCACACAAAAGACAAATATTTTGACTTGCTTTCTCACACTGCCACCGGACACACCAACATCAGCACTCCTGCGGATACTGCTCTCCCTGTGACTTTCAGAGTCCTTGCATGGAGCCACAAAGATCTCCTGGTTTCTGCTAGCATTTTCAGCACTACCAAACAAAATTTTACAACTCCTCTCCTAGCCTCGCCTGAATTTGTGAGCGAGTCTGAACCAATCTCATCCTCTCTCTCTTATTACTGAACCATTCCAGCTGCTTCTGAAAAAGATATTTGTACCCTAATTGACAGTACTGAGAACACTAAATGTTTAATAGTCTTAGTATGCCAAACGCAATTTATACTTTCAGGATAATTTACACCCACCTTCAGGAGTAGAAACAGAAATATCACATGTACACTTTGCATGTAACAGAATATACTGGAAATCAACACAACCAATACCTTCTGAACCTTTTCCCCAAGGCAGACAAGTGAATGAACACTCAGAACAGCTTGTGTACAAGTTTATATTTCCTGCAAATATTTTCACATGCTCTAGATACCTTCCCAACAATGTTAATTTTAATATATTTATGCTTTGCATTAACTCTTTTTTTTCATTTTTTAATATCTCTTTTTTATCTAGGTGCAAAACCAAGCATAATAAACCACTTCTGGCTGTTATGATGAGATAGCAATCAAAACAGTTTTGAGGTGAATCTTAAATTGTAAGCGACTTGGAGGAATAGTGGTATAGAGCAGATCACCAGCAAACAGTATGGCACAGAACCTTAATTGGCCATAACCCTCACAGTCTTGGCAGTCAAATATTAAATCACAGTGGGCCAGGCTACATATGAGCAATTCAGCTACATTTTATCCCAGTGAATTTTGTGATATAGCAGTATTTCTACAGCAACCAGAAGGTGCACGAGTGCAGCGACTACACAAATAGTTGAATCCATTCTATTAAGATTGTAAAAGCTCATAGGAAGTGGGTGACCTCTGCATCACAAACACCTGAGCAGAAAAAGAATTGCTCTGCATTCCCTATGGACTAACCAAAAGCAATTTGGTTTCATGTAACATTATTTCATGACCGTGGTAGTATTAAGTCATAAAAAATAGATGATTACAATTGCTAAAGCTACAAAAGACAAGCAAGTCTGTAAAACCAGCATCTGATCTCACAACACAAAAAAAAAGTAAGTAAAATGTTTAAGAATTGGGAATAACGAATTGTGGAAGGCAGAAAATAGAAGTAAAATCAGCAAGGACAATTCATTCTGATGTCAGACTTCACTTCATTGCACGTGCATCCTGCCTAGCTCACAAGGAATCCTCCCATTTCTTGGAGAATTCATCAACTCAAAATGAAACATTCCCATTTGATAAAGACACACACACAAAGGTGCTATATATTTTCTTTTCCTGTGTTTAAGACCCTAATCGCAGATTTGTTAGATGAAAATACGATCTGAACTTCATATGCCAAAAAATTCATCATGTTTGGAGGTAGGGCAACGTCACACCATAACTTAATTTACGTTAAAGGACTAAAAACGGAGTGATGCAGCAAAGAACGCTGAATCACATTGGCACTTACATTTCCCAAATGTCCTCTGGTAGGTTAGCTGGAATTTCTACTAAGCCCCGTCCTCGACAGTCCACTACGTTGTTGCTGCAGGTGCAGGCAGATGGGCAAGTGATGGAACTGGCACTGCACGATGGAGCTTCAGACTGGGAACCTGAGATGTAACAAAAACATTACACGTTAGTTCTGAAAAATGATCGCCTGGGACTTTACCAATAAAATACATCAGCCCCTGAGTTTTCCAGTTCCTTTACTATTTTAAGTAATAATTTATTTGGATTCAGTGAATATAATGTGCTATAAATCAACTGCAGAGAAAATGTACGGGACATTACGGTGTTCTTATTCTTCCATCACTTCCACTCTATCGTAACTTCCTTCTCTCATGGACACTTCTTTGGTCCATCAGCTGTGATCAGCCATATCAGTTCATTTGAAGCCAGATTTAGAAAATAAGCCTAAGGATCAAGGAATATTCCCCAAAGTTGCCTTTGCCTATGCGTTTCTATTACGCTAACACCCGTTAAGTATTTTTACGTACTGAGAGAAGACGGTCATCAGTAATAACTTATGGTTTTGATATGAGATAACCTGTTATGGTATAAAGACTGGAAATAAAAGCTAGCTTTTTACAAGATCAGACAATTCAGTTAATCGAATCACAAAAAAGAATTTATAAAGAATGTGATTTCAACCCTTCAAGTCATTTATCAATCTAATAATCCCACTGAAAGACAAGAAGCTACTTACAGGGCAAGGGTTTAGCATGAGGATGTTGCTCTATATACATTCTAATCAGCCCATTAGATACAAGTTCAATTTACTGTCATTAACTTTTTTTTAAAGCTGCAGCACTTACTTCAATTTTACTTCAATTTTACCAGTCTTTCGTAAAAGATTTTGGTCTACATGCACACACACATAAAATATTTTTGCCACATCGATTAAGGCTATCAAAATGAAGCAGTTATTGACCTCTTTACGGTGAGTCACATTTTCAAAGTACATTTAACACAAGCAGCTTCAAGTCCCTTTTTGAATTATGACCAGATACAGAGGGCTGAACGTTTGTACTGCAAAGAAGAGACAAAATACTAATAGAAACAGGAAAAACTGCTTCTTTTTGAGATTATAGCAGATTACAATCAGAAAATATATTCCGGTCCTTTGGTTGGAAAAATTAAAACACTTATTAAAACACTCTATATTTTGGCAGATCAGACCTCAGAACTCCAATTCAGGCATCTAGAAATGAGGTTTTCAGAGGTTTTAACACAGTATGCATATGCGAGCGTGGGTGTAATATAGTACAAGTTGTAGCTACTTGTATTTAAAGATGTAAGCTAAATGAGTTAAAAACGTACATGTACAAGAAGCAAGGCAAGCAGCTCTCTTGGGTCTGTCTTCTGGATAGAGAAGTGCAGGGCAGACACACCATCGTTGTGAATTAATAAGAGTCCCTTCAAAATGAATGGAGCTCTGCCAAACATCACCAACAGCTCTGCCAGCTCTGCCTTTCACTGAGTCTAAGATTTCTGTAAGATTTTAACTGTGTAAGTGTCCAAACGTACTTTCCATTGCCCTCAAATGGGCACAGGCCTCTCTTACCTTACATAAGAACAAAAGCTTTGTTCTCACAATACAATTACACAGGGTTTTGCTTTCTCTTTTCCTCTGACCACATGGGGTATGATATCCAAAACTGTACCAAGAATGAGGTTAAGTAAAAATCAGTGATTGCGAGTCTTTAGGGACAGGGAGAAATGCCTAGGATGTGCAGGAGCACCTTGGAGCAGCACTCGGTCTCCAGAAGGTACCAAGGATGCCTGCAGCAAGGTCAGATCTTCCACATAGGCTTTACTGTACAAGTCTGACGTGCTTTCTGAAGAGATTCTAGTAATATACTACCTTTTCATTAGGCTATAAGACCCAAAAAACCTGTCATGCATTGCAAGTTAAGTTTTAAGAGTCTGTAGCTGCTGGTACTGCATCTAAATCAACATCTGTAGAAGATTCAGTGGAGCAGAGCTCATCGCCCCATGTTTGGTGAGATGCAGTATTGCGGAGTGACCAAAACTAACGGTACTGTTTGAAAGGAGGTTGCGTCATCCACTCTGAAAAGCTGGAGAAAGGACAGATACAGCAACTTTGCGTGCGCAGAAAGCAAGCAGCAGCAATAACAAGGCGCTCATTAACACCGCACTACAGCTAGGTATCATGAAAAGTCCTAGCACGTTTTCAAGTGGAGAGACTGAAAGCTGTGTCAGAACTTTACTCATGCCGGCCAAGGAGACCTTCAGGTCCTCTCTGAACAAAGATCGAATAGATAGTTGACTGAAGCCAACAGGAACCCTTTCATCTACCTGGAATTTGGACCGAAAGACCTTTACCTGTGCATTTCCACTAGGAAAGTGGAGCTTGTACATGAACAGAACACTACTGATTTAAGGCTGGATAACGACTAAAAAAATCATCATTTAGATAACCACAGAGGTTCACGGAGACAAAACAGAGAAAGCAACCATTACATCTTTATTTTTAATGCACACGCAACAGAAATGGGATAAAAAACATCAAAGTTAGGTAATGATATGGAATCTAAGCTTAAAGTGAAGGAAAAAAAGCAAAGCAAAAAGCAAAGCAAAGAGGTTGTCTGTGTGTGGACTCTGTTTTCCATATATAATCAATGACTATATTTCTCATTTCAGTTAAAATACCCTGGAAACAGGAGTATTTCTGTAAACCTAATTTCTCATTATAAGCTTGAACTCTCTGAGTGGCCCAAAATATTAGGTAGTCCTGTCACTGTAGAATTATATACTGTGCTAGGAGTAAAAATACTTTTGGTTCCGTACTGAATGCAGCCCTTTATATTTGGTTAAATTATTTCCTTTTGATAGGCAAAATCAGATCTAGATTGTACATCTCTGCAAACTTTAGTTATATAAAATGACTTTATGCACAAATGGATGATCACTGTTATCAAATGGTTTTGCTTATGTTTTTCTTTTGCAAGAGACAAAATACTATATTACACATGAACACTCCACAGCCACTCAGTCCATATGTCATCAGCTTTTATATGAACAATCATCTGCTGAGCTAAAGATTACTTTAATCATGCTGTAAAAACAGAATTTGAAAACTGATTTACATTAAATTGCAATTAAATGAGGATGCATGCTTAGCTCCATGGCAAACCTGTAGAATTAAACCATCAAAAAAACCGAACAGAGTTTAATCAGATATTTGTATAGCTGTGGAGAGATGCTAAAGAAAGGACTGGTCAACAAAACAAGTCCAAGGAGACTATGGAAATTGAAGTTCTGGAAATTAAAATGTGGATATGATTTTCATATGTATACACAGGGTAAGAACAAAGAGAGACCAAGGGTCCAAAGGCAATACAGCCTCAAATTAAGGATACTTTAAATCTAAAAATTAATTTTCCTTTTGCTGGCAATACTTGCTGAAATGAAAAGACCCAAGAAAGGCATAAATATTTTAGTGTTCCTTTTTGTGTCCTTTACAAGCGTAGTAAAGTCCTTGTTATACGAACGCTACGAAAAGAAATGGCCGCAGAGAAGCCAGCGGCATGCACAGTATTTCTCTTCTGAAGTTCTCCTTACTATCTGTCATCTTGTCATTTCAGATTTTTTCTGTTACACAGCAGCACTAGTTCACCACGTTAATTATAGGTTTGTCTAACAGATGAAAATGATCAACCCAGTTATATATTTTATTATTAAAACCAACACTAAAAAAGTGGAAGGCAGGATAGGAGTCAAAATTAACAAAAAATGTTACAGTTTTTGTGCCTCATGTGGAAGGTAGGATAGGAATCAAAATTAACAAAAAATATTACAGTTTTCGTGCCTCTAATGTAACGGAATGATAGCCTCAATGATTACAGTATTTAATATCTGGCATGCCATCAGCCTGTACCACTTAATTTAACAGTCTCAGACTGGTTAGAGAGAGAAAGGAGAGACTTAGGACCTAGCAGTTTACAGAGAAATTAAGTACTCTTTTCAAATAAGCATCTCATTGGCCTCTAGCCTTTCAAGAGCAGCAAACAGACTGAAATTATGATTAGAATAGAATGGTTATGGAGTTTAAAGGTCACAGGCATTTAAAATAAATTTTGCAGTGACCAAATAAACCAAATAATCTCATTTGCACTGGCGCCCAATTATGGCACACTAAGCAGTGTGCTTTATTATCTCCTCACCTATCCAAATGCCCTTACAGCAACTCTTCTCCACCAGCAAAACGCTAGTTATTTGTCAAAGTATTGATCGATTTTAATATCAATCTGACAGGATGTATTTACTAGTTAAAAATCTGTGGTGACTTTAAATCATTTTAAGTATGGCAGACAAGAAATTATTGATCAATAAACAAAACAGTACAAGCATTGCAGATCTGTGGATATGTTATGACCTTCTGCAGTTTAATAAAATGACCCACTGGAACTTTTTTACAAAGCAGGGACAGTCAGTCACTGGCATCTGAAATCAATTACTATTACATGAGCTCTAATACGGCTTTTACTAGAATCCCAGTAACATGACCTCAAGAAGATACCTAAAACAGATGTACCGCTCCTGACTAAGTGTGTGCATTCCCAGTATTAAAATACATTTGTGTGTGTGTATAGTACGGTGGAGAGATACGGGCAAACCAATCACAACTAACTATCCACAAATTTAACATTCCTTGTTGATGGCAAATATGCCACTGAGGGAGAAAAATTTGTACAAATGCGTTTGTTCCACAGGAACGTACAGCAAATGGTTTATGCAAATATTGCCATCTCTGGTCGTTCAACTGCTTTTCACCGCGCACAGCATTAAGTATTTATGACTAGTGGTTTGGACACCTGATTGATGATGAAAATACTTACCATCAAGTTCACGGTATGCCAAAATATACTTGTCACGAATATTCATTACTTGATTCAAGTTCACTATTTTGCTGAACGTTCCCAAACAGTAAATTTATTTGTTAAAAATTCATGGCACGTGAGCACGACTGTGCTGTAGGCACAGTTGACACAAATTGGTTTACAAACAAATACTTAAGAATAAATAGGAAATAACCAACAGCAGCAAAAGGAAAGGTCTGGCATAATGAAAAAAGTCTACATTGTTC